AACAATCTACAAGGTGAATTTTATTTCTCGACCGGATGCATCCAGGGTCATTGCAGAAGCATCACAAATTTTCCAGGAGTACTTTAAATACCACTGAGGATCCACCCATAAAACTATAAAGTTATAATAAAACTATAAAATTATATACAAACTATAAATACAGTTGAAAGGCCGGCAGGAACTTGGATTTCCTCCCACCATTTACGCCAATAAATACAGACTTACAGGGTAAAACTTTTCAAACCCTTACTTAAAATTAAGGCCTGCCACCCTACTCGATGTCACAATAATTAACCTCGCTGTATCGGCAGTAGGTCTGTATATGCCGCTATAAACCCAACACTCACGCTTATAAATACATTCACTCATAGTTCCTGAGCTTTTGATATTGTATAGTGCTTTACCCATCATTTCACAGTCTACATATACAGGGTGAGTCAATTTTCGGTGCACCATAGGAAAATCAACGTTGGTGCGTTTAAATCTGACTCAAGGCATATTTCTTTTGATTTTAACATTAAAAAAAGGATGTGAGTCAATTTTCGGTGCACCATAGGAAAATCAAGGTTGGTTCGTCTAATTATGACTGGGCACATTTTATTTTGTTAGACTCGTACCAAAAAATAGGCGAGTCACTTTTCGACACAACATTCGTTATAAATTAATTTTAGTAGATTGGAAGGAAAATAAACAAAACCAATATTATTAAAACATTATTCAAACACAATGTAAAAATTTTAAAAAAATTCTTCACAAATTAATTTGATTAAGGTTTAAGAGTATTTTTTCTGGTAAAGTAAAAAAATTAAATAAATATAACAATCTCTTTTTTTCTGGTAAAGTAAAAAAAAATTAAATAAATGTAACAATCTCCTTTGTTAGCAAATCAAAAATGTTCAAAATCATTATAATAATTGTTCCAACAGAACTCCATTTGCTGCAACAAAGTAGCCTAGTCTGTCGTAAAACGATGATCGGATGAAAACAAATACTCTTAAACCTTAATCAGATTAATTTGTGAAGATTTTTTTTTTTAATTTTTACATTGTGTTTGAATAATGTTTTAACAATATTGGTTTTGTTTATTTTCCTTCCAACCTACTAAAACTAATTTGTAACGAATGGTGCGTCAAAAAGTGACTCGCCTATTTTTTGGTACGAGACTAACAAAATAAAATGTGCCGAGTCATAACTAGACGCACCAACCTTGATTTTTCTATGGTGCACCAAAAATTGACTCAGTTTCTTTTATTAATGTATTAATCAAAGGAAATAAGCCTCGAGTCAGATTTAAACGCACCCGCGTTGATTTTCCAATGTTGCGTCAAAAATTGACTCACCCTGTATATATAGCCTAGACAATTTCATATCTGCAAGCAGACGATTAATGTATGTTATCAAGTTTCAGAGACACAACTTCAGACCATCACACTCGACTATACACGGTCAACTATTTTCCCCCCCATTTTTTAACGAGGGTTCGCAACAGCAAAGTTTATATCAACCCTCGGGGTGCCGGTGTTATTGAAAAAAAGCCCATTTGTAAGTATGTGGGTCCGAATGCAGGGCCGATGGATTCGAACCCGGGACCTTTACCTTACAGTGATGAGCGCCGTGTCAACGCCTAAACCGTTGCAGCCACCGACGCCCCCACGGTCAACTATTCTCGCTACTAAATACGGTCACGATTGAATAAAAGGCACGAATGAAAGTATTCAAATAATTTATCTCCGCAATCAACGTCATGATTTCATATTTTACTTCAGTCGTACTTTGGTAATATTGCAGTCATTCACATTCGGGTTGTATATATTTTGGCTATTTGATCTACTTCAATGATCATTTAATCGAAAGTTATAGACACGAGTATTGTAACGCTAAATGACCCACCATATTTTTTAAATTTAAGTTGATAGGCAAAGAAATATATGTCAACTAAACATCGCGCCTTTCTTTCATAAAAGACATATTTTGTTTTATTTTAATACAATATTTTAATTCTAACGCACAGAGCATGGTGCTATGTATCTTTATCTCATTGAACCTTTTTCAATCCGGTTTTATGACGCAGTATTTACATATATTATTATTATTTCTATATTATCATTGGCGGTGCTCGTGGGAAATAACAATAGATTTTCCAATTACAAACGAGGGTGAATAGCCCGAAATTGATTCTCAAAATTATAGATGAATTATATATAATTAATCTATAAAATTATAGATACAATCAAATAGTATTTATAAAATGTAGTAATTGTCCTTATTCTACAGTTAAAAGACCGTCCAAATAAATTATTTGTAAACAACCTACAGAAAGTACAAAATTACATTTAATAACAATTTAAAAATAATATTTTTATAAAGTATTATTATATCCTGCTAAACCGGCATTAGGTCACGACTCACCTATTGCGTCCATCTTCACTCGCGAACTTCTCAAACGCGTTTCGACATTTCGCCATCTTCAGTGAAGAACTGTTTTCCACTTTACTACAGTTTCCTAACTGAAGATGGAGCAATGCCGACCAGTGCAACAAACCCATCAGTAAAGACTGACCGAATAAGTGATTCAATGGCGGTTCAGCATGACTTCACCAATTCACAGACCTAGCATCAACTAATCTCAATTTAAAAACGTCTCAATTGCAAAGTAGCATTTGCTGACAGATAATTGCAAGAAATAAAAATAGGTAAAAAAGATTATATCGATTAAAACAAATAAATTCTGTTACATGTAATTTTCTAAAAATTCCCAAAAATGCGAAGTTTAAAAAATATTGAAATTATATTTGCGTAAAAACTTGAAACTTTGTTTTCTGAAACTCTGCCAAATTTCTTCTTATTTTTCAGTAAGAACGTTTCCCCTTGGTGCTTACAAATTTTCGTAGCGTCCTGAGCATTAATCTCAAAATGTGCTGGACCTATACCTAATAATGGAGACAAGTCCTTTAATTATAGAAAAATAATTAAAACATTACATAATATCCGATTTTTCTCTTTTCGGGCGCTCAACGTGATGGAGGATAGGTTCAAATAAACTTTTCTTAATATATAGCCCTAAGATCTATCATCTCTGTGCAGGAGAATGTATCGTTAGTATAGTTTTCTACAATTAATTATTATCAGTATATAACTAGTTGGTAAAGTGATCATATGTATTTTGAAATATATGGCATTATGTATTAAGGATTAGTTTTAATTTTTTGCCCAAATTCCACTGCTCTGTCTCTCATTTCTGTAAATGAGCCTATGCTTGTTTTATCATTATATCTGCAGAAGAAAATTCTCCACTTTGTTTTTCTTTGTATGTTTATAACTTATTTACGCTTGAATTCATTTAGCGATACTCATAAATATATAATAATAAGCTGATTTTCCGGATTTTCCGATCAGCCCAGCAGACATCAAAAACGCAATGAAAACGTTAAGTTGGAGTGAATGGCAAATCCGCTGGGACAATATGACCGAAAAGTTGAAAGTAGTGAAACCGAAAACAAAACCCTGGGTCACGAAAAAAATGAGATGAAAAAAGAGAGACAGGATTATTCTCACGCAATTGAGGATAGGCCACACGAGGCTGACGAATGGCCTCCTCTTAATTACAAAGAGACCCAGGGTATGTCCTCTGTGTGGTGCAGTTGTGACAGTGAAGCACATCCTAGAAGAATGCGAACAGCTGGCACGACACAGAGAGCGGTGCGCCTACCTTTCAAAAATTCTAACGCATAACAGCGACCATAAAGATCGACTTATGACATATTTAAAATCAATAAACGCATACAGCTGCATATAACCCCCACATGTGGTTCACCCCCCATTGTATTGTACGAACGTATTTATTAGCGTGAGTGGTTTAGCATGCATGGGTGCGGCTGTGACTGAGTATCGAGTAACTCACAGGCCCACCGATTTAGGTTAGTGATACATTTGTAGTATGATTGAGGGAAGGGTCGACAGCCTCTTGGTTGTAGTAATACTACCGAAATGCTGAGTCCTTTCTAGTATGAGCGTATTTATTAGCGTGAGAGGTTATGTGTGAATGGACGTGGCTGTCGAGGAATATCGAGTACTCCACAGGCCCGTCAAAAAAACCTTAGGATTAGTTTTATGGATGAGTGGAATTTGTACATACCGTTTGAATGTATTTATTCGCGAGAATGGAAGGAGGTCGGTAGGATTAGAACCATTTTACCGACCTCCACTTTTTTAATATTAGAAAACTAGGTTTATTAGTATAAATTTGTATTATGAATGTGTGCGTATGTAAATGGTCAAATACTTCAATTTACCACATAGAAATGCAAGGATACAAAGAGAAATGCAACAAAAACCGTAAGGTCCGATGAGTAGATCAGAATATCAAATGAAAATCAGAATGAAGTTAAGTAGGAAGTTTTTCAAAATGTGGGAAAGATATACGCGTGGTGTCGGCCATGACCGAAGCAGTTAGCCGGCCGAAAAAAGAAAAAGAAAAAAAAGCTAAATCTAGAAACATTGACTGTTAACAATATATTCTTACTACTTAGATTATTTAATGGCTATTATTTGATTATTAATGTTTGATGTGAAATTTCATTTTTATTTCAACAACTAAAATAATATTAATACAAAATATAGACGTGAGAGGCTATAAAACTCCTTGTACAAGTGGGAACGGCAGTAATCATCTGGGGATTTTTCAGGTGTAAAAGAAAAATATTGTATTTTTAAATTTGTCCTCAGCTTAAAATTGTAGGCAGGACTCCCATTTTCTATGTTTTGCACGATAAATGCTCTCCTCCAAAATGGAATAAGGCAACACACCGGGAAAATTCCTTTTGAATTGTGTAACAGATAAAGGTCTCCTACCTTTCCATTTGTTGTCCCTTTAACGTGCCCGGAATAATGTGCGCAAGTACAGGGGACATTTTTTTATTTCCCCGTCCTTTCTCTTCGGCCGAAGAATATTAATATAAGTTCGAAAAGGAATAAATATAAAAAAATATGAATAAACTTACCCCGACCAGAGTATAAATTCGATGTCGCCTTGAATTGTGTTCATCGCGTCGACGGCTGATTCGATCAAGGCCCAGGGAGAATCACAACTATACTCGCCAAGAGCCCTTGGAACCTTAGAACTTCCCCCTGGAAGACCTCTTCGACAGCCTAAAACAAAACAATTAAAATCAAATTATTCAAAAAATTAAATTCATGTGATAGCTTATTCTTTGAAAGTTAATATTGTTAAAGTGAATATGGATTAAAAGAGTAGAGTAGGAAACAAAAACGTACAAAAGCACATAAAAATATATACAAAGATACTATAGTAATACCCTTGACTGGCATAACTTCTAAATACCATAAGCAATGATTATAAGTAGCCAAAGAAAATCTCAAAACATAATTTGATGATGTTAAACTGTTTAGCAAATAAATCATTCTCGATGTGATCCAGTTTTTAGTCTATACAAAACTTCAGAACAAATTTTATTTACAGCTTCGAAAAATTTTGTTCGAGAAATATAATTATCAACATGTGCAGATAGGTTTGGTTCACGCCAATACAACAAACCTTCCAGAACAGAAACGGCCCCAGTATTGACCCTTGGGAGCACCAATTTTCAAATAGCCCATATCAGATTTATTATTGAATGGACCGCCTCCTACCTGAAAGATAATAGATAATTAAATCACAATTTTCATCATAAATTTCGAGGACTTGCAATTTTTGAAACAAAATCTATATTTAAGAAACTGTCAAACTATTTTTTGAAAGCATAAAGAATTGGATTTACTAGTGTTACTGGTGCAAATGCAGTAGAACTACTTTAGAGAAAACCAAATCGATTTTTTCCTCTAAATTGATGATTTTAAAATGGTTACGTTTAATTTTAATAACAACTTCAAAAAAGCTTCCGAAAATTAGTATAAGTTTCTAAAAGTTTTAATTTTAGAGATAGGCGTAACCTTAGCTGTTATTATGGTATCAGGAAAAACAATTTAAAATAAAATTATTTATAGTTATCAGTCAGAAAATAATACATACAAAATAAATGTTAAAATACAGCTTGACTTACTATTACTATTAGATACCCGAAGTTGTTTAGACAATTATTTTTTTATTTGATTATACTAAATATTACATTTCTATGCTTATTCATAATTAATACTAATAATTTTTTTGTTAATGCATACGTTTTGGTGAATAGGATATAATTTTTGAAATTCTTTTTATATTTTAGAATTTGTTTAAATATTTACTTTAGCATGATTTATTTACATTTCACAAGCTCGTTGTCGTGTTAATATTTTACATAAACGAACGTATTGTTAAATATCGAACTGACTTATTAATTATAGATGTGAACCTGGTCCATTTTGGTATAGCAAATGTTTTGTTTTCTTGACACATATTGACAAACCTTAATGGGTTCAATTTAATTTACCTCAATGGTTGTATTATATCAAATATTTAATTTGTTATAAAAAAATGGTTTTGCTCCACGTATAAAACTAAGATTAGTTAATTTAAAAATATATGTTTAAAAGTTATTAGCAATTTTATTATGAATATTATATCTTTGTATATTTTATGTATTGTTTATTTCTGACAGAAAAGGATTGGCTTTTGCATATTTAAAAAGGACACTTCTTTAAAAAAAAAGTTACATCAAGAAACCATTTTATTCTAATCTGAAAAAAACAGTGTTTTGACAGAGTTAAATTTGGGATCCACTTGTATTTATGCACTTTGACAATATGTCCATTGAAAGCGGAAAAGCTTTCTCGACGTCTCGAGGTTATTGAATAAAAATAACATCTCAGTTAGAATAAGTTTCCTTTATTTAATCGTAAACAGGAGGAAAAGATAAAGTTTCCTTTACAACTTCTTGTGAGATTTATTTATAGGTCGACCCAATCCCGTCACTCCGTCGCCTATATTGCATAAGGAGGTTTCCTGAAGATCTGAGTACCCTTCTGAAATCCTACGGGTGGTAAATTTACGGAAATTTAATTTAATGAGTGAGAATTGAGTTGTTTAGAAACTGAGAAAAAAGTCTTTTAACCAGCCTTAAATGCATTCGATGTAAGGCATTTAGGTGAAATAGATAATTTAGCTTTTAGTTATATAAATGCCCTTCTATGGAATCAAGTGAGCTTGAACTGGAAAGTGCATTCTTCTCAATTATAATGCAAATAACCATGTTGCAAATTACCCAGAGAGAATATTATTGTTTACCGGCGTTTCAGTTGATTTTATACCCGTTAAATCTCGTCTGGATGTGAAACAATTCAAGTACGAGCAAATAGACGATACAACGTTTAAAATAACACACAGAAACATGTTTTAGGCAAAACCTGACAATGATAAACAAACGAATAAACAGATATGTAAACTTCACCAATAAATGTGTGGTGATTAGTGACCGTTAGTCGATGATTATTCGGAAATCGTGAGATGATGTCTGGTGTGACGTATGTTTCAGAAAAACATTTTCTTTATCGTGCCAACGTTTCGATCTTTATTGAGATCATCTTCAGGGCTCAATAATGATCGAAACGTTGGCACGATAAAGAAATTTTTTTTTAAACATACGTCACACCAGACCACATCTCACGATTTCCGAATATTTCACCAATAAATTTTAAATTTTATTACGACATTGAAAAATTGAGATTATAATTCTAGTTATTTTTGTAACGTTTACCTTTTAGCAATCTTTTTTCTCCTTCTATTTTGAGTCGTAGGAATTTTCCTCTTATAAAATTTAACATTTGTATAAAGGGTGTATCAACTTCTATAATTCAGCGTAGATATAATATACATTATAAGAATTATTAATTTATATACCGGGTGAATCAATTTCTGTAGTCAAATCATTTAATTCGGATCCGATTAACTTTAGAAGAAAATACTCTTGTACAAACCCCAAGCTAATTTTAGCTAGGAATCGCGGGGTGATAACAGATTTAACATAACATTTTTATCTAGCAGGCAAATGACATGAACTTTGTTATTTTAAATGAGATTCCAACATTTTTATTTTACCGTTCGATTTTAGAGCTTATTTTATGCCACTCTTACTGAGAGTAACATTTTGATAGGATCGAGTATTTCTGAGTTATACCCAACGGAAGACGCGTGGGGGTTATGCTTTTTATGCTTTTTGTAATAACAAGATGGCCCTACCCGTTTATTTCGAAAATGGTGATTAGTTCATTCATAGATAGAATCCAAATGATTTCAAGAGCATTAACTTCGCGAAAGTAACAAAACCAGAAATTACAATAATGGAGGTCACTTACATTCGAAATTTAACTATATTTCTTTGATTTCTTTTCAGGATATAGACAACCATCATGATGGTTTTCACCTGAAAAGGAACTCAATATATAAAAGAAGAGTAAAAAATATATAATATAATTAGGAACATTGATATTTTTAAATACGTATTTACAATTATATAAGAAAGCTAAAACAAAATGGGAGATAATACGATAACTTGGTCAAAACAAGTGAGAACATATTTTTCGCTTGCAAAAGATCAAAAATCGGGCAGCACTCAGACATGGTCCATCTATCAAAAAAATACCATTTTTTTGTTAAAGTTAATCCTTGCCGAATTAAATGGGTGGACTAAAGAAGTTGATACACCCTGTATTATGTTCGAACTTTGGTTTTGATTTACTTTGAAAATTTTCTCGCAAAGCATGAAAAATAATCTAATATAGGAAAAGCATATATTGATATACTCGAAAAATGTTTAATAAATGATGTTGATAAATGATATTTAAGTTGGCGAAAAAGTTCCTGACATGCTGGTTTTAAGTAAGGGATTCAAAGGAATTACGACGTCGTTTCTTAGATAAACTTTAACCAGGGGAAAGGGCCTCTGACTTATCTAGGCCGCTGTAATTGGTTCTTATATCTAGAATTCTTGGTTCGGTCCTCTTCTTCACCTCCCTCATAATTATTGTCGCCTCTCTCGGAACACGTTCAGGTTAGACGCTGTAATCGCATTTGCCTTTCCCCTCGATCATTTCAATGTCCCCTTTGGGTAGTTCGACCGGATTAATTTCAAAATGTTTGCTCTCGATTAATATTATTGTTGAATATTACATTTTATATTGAAGGGAGGGTGTACCTTTGAATGTAAGCAATTGAATATAAGTGATTGAGTTCTCTTAGAAAGGAAGAAAACTTCTAGAAAGCCTGATAGTCTAAATACAATCAATTAATTAACTTTGAACTTTCTCATTGTTGATGTAATAAATCAGAATTCCTGAAAATTTTCGTTGAGCTAAACATTTAGCTTTTAGCTTAGATTAGATGATATTGTCACATTCCAAACTAAATTAATGATAAATCAATAAAACGATGAGTATACTTTAGTAACTAATAAATGAAACAACAAAACAGTACCCGCAGGTAATAATAAGGAATGGTAACAAATAATCAACGACCACTGTTTCTTCAAAACTGAATAATAACAATAATAGTTATTTTCACAAATTAGCCGATCAGATGAAAATTAAATTCAATAAGTGTGCACTGTCCCAACCTCCTACGGACCAAATACTGTTGTAAGATTGGGCTTTCTAAGGGATAACTGAAAATATTAAAGGCGTGTTTGACTCTCCTTCCTTATGAATATAGTAATATTGTACATATTGAAAAAAAATTGGCCAACAAAATAATTATTATTATATTATTATTCCTCGGAGGCTTGATAAGTCAGGTTAGTGTTTTGTTTTATTCACTGTCCTTCTCTCACTCTCTCTCTCTCTCTCTCTCTCTCTCTCTCTCTCTCTCTCTCTGTATATCTGTCTCTCTTGTTCTTTTTTTTCTCTTCTCTCTCCTTTAGTTACTCTATCTCTTTCCCCTCTCTCTTTTTAGCTGGCTTTTTGTGTCTCTTTCTTTTATTCTCTTGCACTCTCACTCGCTATCTCTCTCTCTTTTCTGTGTCCCTCTCTTTATCTTTCTCTATGAGGCACTAGCTCACTTTTAGAGACATTATCTCTTATTCTCTCAGTTTCTGAACTTATTTCTCTATGCTTTTTTCTGTCTCTCCGTTTCTTTTTATATATTTTTTTATACCACTCTCTGATTTTATCAAACCCTATCTCTTTCGCACTCAGTATTTTCGAGCTTCTTTCTGTATGTTTCTTTCTCAATCTCTTTCCCTCTCATGCACACTCTTTCGTTTCTCTCTCTCTTTCTTTTATCCTTCTTTCTCTCGCTGGCTTTATAATTTGCTCTCTCATTATCTTTTTCTCATTTATTTTCACTCTAACCCATTCTCTCTAAATTTTTTCAACTTTTTTCTTTCAATCTCTTTCTCTCTCAATTTTTCTCCTTTACCTTTTAACACTGTCTTTCTCTTACTATCTTTCGGTTTTTCTCTCTTCCACTTATCTCAGTTCACTACTAGATTTTAAATACATAATAATGAAAAACGAGGTTTCAGAACCAAGCATTACATGAAATTCAATGAGAGAGAATATGAAATACATAAAAACATACCAACTAATTTGATAAACTAAATATAAAAACTGTACTCAAACCAATAAGAAAGTTTTCAAGACATTATACAGTTGAAATAATACATAAACAATAATTGATTTATGAGAAAAAATCAGACAAACAAGATATA